CCACTGTGCTCCTTGGTGTTTACCCAAAGGAGTAGAAATCTTAAATCCAGAAAAACCCTGCACACTAATGTTTATTGCCGCTTGATTCATAATTGCCAAAATCTGGAAGCAACAAAGATGTCTTCAATAGATAAATGGATAAATAAACTGTGGAACAACTATATAAAGGAATATTATTTGATGCTAAAAAGAAGTGAACTAAGTCATGAAAAAAAACTTAAATACCTATTACTAAGTGAAATAAGCCAATTTGAAAAAGCTACATTTTGTGTGACTCCAACTATATGACATCCTGGAAAAGGCAAAACTATGTAGACAGTAAAAAGAGCAGGGGAGAAAGGGGAGGGAAGAATAAAGAAAAGGATTACAGGATTTTTAGGGCAGTGAAACTACTCTTCATGATACTATAATGGCAGATAAATGTCCTTATACATTTATCAAAACCCACAGAATGTACGCCACAGAGAGGAACCCTAATGTAAACTATGAACTTGGGGTGATAATGATGTATCAATATAGCTTTATCAGTTTAAAAAAAATGTACTGCTCTGGTCTGGGATGTTGATAATAGGGGAAGTAATACATATATGGGACCAGAAAGTATATGGACTATGTCTATACCTTCTTCCTAACTTTGATAGTTTTTAAAAAACACATAAGATTGCTAAAAGTAGTAATTATATTTTATTGCTGCATTTCTACTATATATAGTATCTTATATATCTGATATATATAAATTTTAGTATATATATGTACATGTATGTGTGTGTGTGTGTATGTAAAGGAGTATGGGGAACGAAAAATTGCTTTATTTTACTAGAATAACACATCACAAACATACACACATCAACAGATTTTGTGTTAAATCAAAGATGTATTTCCTTGACCAAGCACTAAGAAAATATGAGGACAATAATACAAACAAAAATAACTAATAAAAAAGATACAATAGCTGGGCATGGTGACACACACCTGAAATCCTAGTGGCTCAGGAAGCTGAGGCAGGAGGACCACAAGTTCAAAGCCAGCCTCAGCAACTTAGTAAGGCCCCAAGCAACTTAGTGAGACCCTCTCTCTAAGTAAAACATAGAAAGGGCTGGGGATGTAGCTCAGTGGTTAAGCACCCCTGGGCTCAATCCCCAGTACAAAAGAAAAAAGAAAAACAATAAAAACTAATGAAGGGGGGCTGGGGTTGTGGCTCAGAGGTAGAGCACTCACCTAGCACATGCGAGGCCCTGGGTTTGATCCTCAGCACCACATAAAAATAAATAAACAAAATAAAGGTATTGTGTACAACTAAAAAATAAACATAAAAAAAAAAAAAAAAACCTAATGGAGGGACTGGGGTTGTAGTTCAGTGGTAGAGCACTTGCCTTGCATGTGTGAGGCCCTGGGTTTAATTCCCAGTACTACACATGCACCTATGCTTGAGCATGCGTGCACACGTACACGTGCACGTGCGCGCGCACACACACACACACAAATTATTTAACAGAAATTGATAATGCAGGAAGAGAAATAAAGACATGAGACATAATAAAATGGCAGACATAAATCTACGCATATTAATAATTATATCAAAATATAGTAGACCAAATGCTATAACAATAAGATGGAAATTTTAAGAATAGATAAAGAAGAAAGATCAAGGTCTAGCTGTACACACACACACAAAAAAAAAACACACACACACACTCAGACTAGATAAATAAGATCCAGTTGTATATACCCACAAAAACTTTTTCTTTTATAACTTTATTTTGTTTATTTTTATGAGGTACTGAGGATTGGAACAAGTGCTTTACATGTGCTAGACAAGCACTCTGTCCCTGAGCCACAACCCCAGCACAACACACACATTTTAAAACGAGAGACAAACTTCAGATTCAAAGAGGTTGGAACAAAACAATGGAAAAAGATGTCATGAAACAGCAACCATACAAGTGATTAAGTGGCTATATTAATACTAAACAAAATTAAGAAATATCAATAGAGACAAAGAGGGACTCTTCATACTGAAAAAAGGGTCAATTGATTAGGAATGTTATGTAGGATAGACTACTAAACCATAAATCAAGTCTCTATAACTTAAACATCTGAAAGTATACCAAGTTATGTTTTCACTATAAATGAAAAAAAAAGAAATTTGAGAAATCATGAAAACACAATATATCACCTTTTCTGGGATCCAGCTAAAGAAATTAGTTTGGCAGCTTCTTAAGAACTTTTTTAAAAAATGTTTTTATTTTTTATTGTTGTAGATAGACAGAACGCCTTTATTTTATTTGTTTATTTTTATGTGGTGCTGAGGATAGAACCTAGTGCCTCATACATGCTAGGCAGGCGCTCTACCTCTGAGCTATAACCCCAGCCCCATTTATAACTTTAGACATAGAAGAAAACCTAAAACCAATTATTATGGTTTCCAACACAAAAAGCCAGGAAAATAAGATCCAATCATATCCAAAACAAGCAGAAGGAAGTAAAGAGTAAAGATCAGAGTAGAAAGCAACAGAATATAAAACAGAATGACAACAAAATAAAAACCAATGAAACCAAAAGCTTGTTTCTGGGATGATCTGCCAAATTAATAAAATTTAGCTAGACTGATCAAGAAACAAAGATATAAATTATCAAAATCAAGAATGAAAGGTAGGATATTACTATAGACCCTATAGAAATTAAAAGGATTATAGGACATTATGATGAGTAACTTTATAATTAAATAAAAACACAAGTTACCAAAACTGTCAAGAAATAGAGAACAGAAAAAGAAAAACAGGAAACAGAACTGTGTTATGGTTTGGATCTGAAGTGTCCTCTAGTAAGCTTATACAATAGTGCAACAATGTTTAGAGGTGAAATGATTAGATTATGAGAGCTATAACCTTGTTGGTGGATTCATCATTTGATGGATTAATCATCTGAAAGGCTACTGCGCTATTTGGTAATTGTGGGTAGGCTGGGTGCGGCTGTAGGTTAGGTCACTGCAGGTGTACCTTTGGGGATTAATCTTGTCCCTGTCCCCACCTCCCAGCAACAGCTGTCCTGAGCTGTGTAGCTTTCCTCCACTACACTCTTCCTCCTTGATGTTCTGCCTCTCCTCAGGCCCAGAGCAACAGAGTCAACCAACCAGGAATGAGCCAAAATAAACTTTTCCTCCTCCCAGTTGTTCTTGTTGGTTAGTTTGCTGACAAACAGCTAACACAGAGTGATACCTAGCATAGAAATAGAGTTACTAATTAAAATACTTCGAAGAAGACTCAGATATATATTTTATTCCTTCTTTTTCATTTCTTTGAAATTGCTATTCTGGTAGTCTGTGAATTCATGATCACTTCAAAATTATTTAGAAATGCAGCTGACACAGTGAGTCAAATACTCATGATTCTAGAACCAATACTATGGAAAGCCTCATTTGTTACCTGTCATGCCTGAACTCTTCACCCAGGTTGTTTATTATAGTCCATTGTTCACAAAGTATAAAATTAAGAGATTTTACATAACTAATCAACATTAAAAGGACAGCATGATTTTAAGGAAAGAAGGATTTCTTGGAGGTCCAATATCTAATAGAAGAGAATAAAAAGTATTTGTAGGTTAAGTCTAGCCTTATGCAATTACAAGGCTAAATATTCATTTGGAAGTAAATCTTATCATGTGGCTTCAAGTCTGACTAAAGCCCTCCTGTTAATCTGATACTGAAGGGGAAAAATGAAATCTAAAAACTAGAGATCTCTCTTTTGATACAGAGTACAGAATATTTTTATCCTTGGAATAAAATACCACAGACAATACAATTTCCTGAACTTTGATATGTATGTGATACATATCTATGATTAATTTTTGATATGTCTTTTTTACTTCGGCTAATAAGCATAAGGGGTGAGATCAAAGAGGTGGGCTAGGGACCAAACAACTGAGTCCAGCCTAGTTGTACTAGAAAACTATAAGAATTAAGTAGGAAAATAGCACAATTTGGATTAAAAAACAAAAACTATTTGGGCTGCTATGCAGAGGATGGATGAGTCGGGCAGCAGTTAACATGGGAAATAAGTGATGAGGTTTGGTCTGAAGAAGTGACCACAATGACAAACCCCTCACCTGACTTGAATCTTTCTAGATTTCCAGACAGCTTGCTGAGGCAGGTACTATTATCTTCATTTCCTAATATTTGACACTCATACCTTCATTTACCTTCCTAAGCCAAGGCAAAGGGAGATGAAGTAACTGGCCTAAAGTGTTACTTCTTAGGAGGGGCCATGCTGAGATCACCCCAACCATCTGGCAGAAGAGCTGAGATCTCCCTCCTGCACTGGTAAGATGAAGAGAAAAGGCTGAAGTAGTAAAATGTTCTGGAGTTGCAGCTGTCAAGCTTTATTAATGGATTAGAAGTAGAGATAAAGGAAATAAAAGAACGACTCCTAGGTTTTGCTTGAGCAACTAAGTGAATCTGGTAGTATAACTGTACAGAGAGAGCATACGAAATAGGAAAAAGGGTTCAGTGCCCAAACTTGGAACATTGCAATATTTAAAAGTTGAACAGAGAAGGAGGAACATGCAGAACTTACAGTGCTTACAATGAAAAGCAGAGAGCACAAAACCCCAAGGACTGAGCATTTCAAGGAGGAAGGAGACAACCAACATGAAGAATACTGCAGAGCAACAGGGGAAGTGAGAATAGAGGTGGGTCATGGGTCTTTGCCCAATGGAAAGTACTGGAAAAGTTGAAAAGAGCAGCATACCCCCTAAATTTACTTTCACCACTGCATCTGCTCTGCTGAATTGTTAATCTCATCTGAAAGCTCCTGGCACTGAGTTTTAATTCAAACTCCCTATCTTCTAATCACAATTCTTGGAGTAGAAATGAAATTACATACATGCTATGCAACAGAGTCTCAATGCTAAGTTAGTTCCAAAGGTTTTCTGGTCTTATAATAAAGGTGAAGTCAGTTGCACTAACATGCACCCTTTTACCCTCCACTTCCAAATTCACATACCGTGAGAGATCCGTTTTGTGTGCTGGGTGAGTTGCTACTCTGCTCTCCGTGGGCTTGCGTATTTCCATACAGTGTCAGGTTATGCTCACTGGTCTGGCCGGCATAGTCCTGAGTGTGTGGCACTCCATATTCTGTGGGAATTCCATTCTGTGGAGGTGGTGGGAACGGGATGGTAGTAAAAGGCTGGACCATTGCGTCAGGAGTTGTTGTTGGCTCCTGGTTACCCTGGAACAAGCAATGAAGGGAGAAAAGGAGGAGAAAGAGTGACTTATTAAATCCTTGTTATAGATAATTGCTTTAAAGGTGAATATAAAGAGTTCTCTGGGGGCTGGGGATGTGGCTCAAGTGGTAGCGTGCTCGCCTGGCATGCGTGCGGCCCGGGTTCGATCCTCAGCACCACATACAAAACAAAGATGTTGTGTCCGCCGATAACTAAAAAATAAATATTAAACTTCTCTCTCTCTCTCTCTCTCTCTCCCCACACACACACACACTCTCTCGCTCTCTCTTTAGGAAAAAAAAAAAAAAAGAGTTCTCTGAATATTCTCTCACTGCACAGATAAATGGAACACTTACTGCCCCAGGATTAGGGAAAATATAGTTATACATAGACATATAAATAGATGCGCATACATGCCCCAATTTAGGCCAATTTGTGGATGCTAGACAAGCGAAGACCATATTAAAATTAACTAGATAACAAGAGGTCAAAAAGCTTCCCTTTAAATCAAGTTTTGAAAAAAATAACTCACATAAGAGATGACTAGTTTGTCTAGCATGCACAGGCCCTGGGTTCAATCCCAGTACCCTCCCATCCCTCAAACTGCAAAATTAGTTTGGGCCATTAGTATGTTTTTAAAGATATTCTCTAATTCTTCAGCAATTCTTAAGAAGAAGCCAAAGGAGTACAAATCAATTTCCTTAAAATTGCAATTCACAGCACTGGTAGAACAACATTGTAAAGTCTTAAAATGAGATAACAACAGATTTTTAGATTCCAAAGAAAATATTTTTTAAAAAATTCACCTTTAGATATCAAGGCAGAGACTCTTGGATACTAGGCTAATAATAATAAAAATAATAAAAATATTTTAATTGAAAATTTTAGAAACAGACAAACTTCCCAGACCAAAAAGAACATGGAAATGTTCTTCCTAATTACTGTTGGCATTATAAGGTGAGCCACAGGGTGCACTCCTGTGGCATCCATTTCCAGATGTTAATACTTGGGATCCAGAATGATATCTGAAATATCAGTAAAGAAGATGTAGATGCTTGCCTACCATGTGCAAGGCAAACCCCAACACTGAGGGGGTGGGGTGAGGTGGGATGGGGTGGGGTAGAGTGACATTAACTATAGGAAACTGTTAGAGGCCATTCTGGCTCCAAGGTCTTTCTCACTTCTGTTCCATCTCCAAGTTCATATACAAAACAGGGGAATCTGTGATACTTACTTTTCAAAGCCTTCACTATTCTACCTTCTCATCAACCTTCCATTTAGCAGATAAAAATAAAGGCTATTATTTTACTGAGGACACACAAGTCTACAAAGTCTTGGGCAATTATCTTTCTGGAAATAGCTAGCAGAGGTGGCCAAAGGCTTTAAAATATTCGAACTTAGATAAAGTTTTCCAATGTTTTAGACATTAAAACATTAACGATCAAGGAAAATCTGGGTTTACATCACTTGGTCTCCTCCCCACTGTGAGCATCATGTCTTTCAATCAAGGAAGTAATCATTCCCCTCTCTCCCTGATTCCAGTCATCCTTCTTTCCCCTCAGATGGACAGGTGATTCTCTAACCACTGAGAGTGGCAGAAACCTACACTTTCTGCATTTTCTGAACATCACTCTAGGCATCACCATTAACTTGATGCCATTAAACTCACACTATCTCAAAATGAATCCAAAGCTACACTACTACAATAATTATTCTGCACAAAATAAAACATAAACCTACAAATGTGGTTATAAATGATGAAATATATGATCATGGATTGAAAGACTTGATGTTCTGAAGATGACAATGTTTAGTAATCCCCATAAAACCAATCAAAAGTTACTATTAACATTTATATGGAAACTCAATTGATCTAGAATAGCCAGAACAATTTTGAAAAAGAACAAAAACTTCACTACCTGATTTCAACCAAGACTTACTTTAAAGCTACAGTATCAAACTAGTATAACACTGGTTTAAGGATGAACAAGTAGATAAACAAAACAAAAGAATCCAGAAACAGACATGGGCATATACTGTCAATGAGAGGTGAATCCAATGGGAAAAGGAAAATCTAACAAAGGAATAACTGAATACTTGATGAAAAAAATAAGCCCTAACTCTACCCCAAATATACAATGGTAAACTTGAAAGAAATAATAGATCTAAATATAAGAACTAAAACTATAAAACTTCTAGAAACACACAGGAAAATCTTCACATCTCTGGAATAGCTTAGGACATAAAAGCAAGAACCATTAAAAATTGATAAATTGAACATACCAAAATTAAACAACTGCTATTTGAAAGATATCAATAAGATAATAAAAAGACAAGACAGACACTGGGAGAGAATATGCATAATACCTACATCCAATAAAGGACATATACCCAGGATTTATAAAGCACTGTTATGTCATAATAAAGCATTTTTTAAAAAAATAGGCTAAAGACTTTTGGCAGCTATTTTCCACTAAAAGATCTACAAATGGGCAGAAAAATACATGAATGGGTGAGGCTCAACATTAGCCATCAGAGACATGAAACACAAACCAAAATGAGATACCATTCCACTACTGCTGGAGTGGCTAAATTAAAAGACTGGAAACATCCAATGCTGACAAGGATGTAGTGAGGAACTTTCACACACTGCTGTGGACATGTAAAATGTATATCCACTTTACAGAAATGTTCTGTTGTTTATGATGTCAAAAGATTCCCTTGGGCATGGTGGCACATACTTGTAATCCTTCCTAACTTGGGAGACTGAGGCAAGAGGATGGCAAGTTTAAGGCCAGTCTCAGCAACCTATTGAGATGTTATCCCAAAACAAAAAGCAAAAATAGCTCGTGATGTAGCTCTGAGTTCAATCCCCAGTACCACAAAGAGGAAGGAGGGGGGAAAAAGGAAAAAATAAAAATAAAAAACCCATTTTTTGTATTTACCTAAAAGAAATGAAAGCATGTCTTCAAAAACATCTGTACAGGAATGTTCTTGGAAACCTCATTTATAATAGCTCTCATTGAAAACAACTGTACTTCAACAAGAGAATGGGTAAAGAAAGTGTGGGCTATTCACAAAATGGACTGCTTCTTGAAAGTTGGATAAATCTTAACACTGAGTTAAATGAAGAAGCCAGACATAAAAAATTACATACTATATAATTCTACTCATAAAGTCTAAGCATAGGAAGATCTAATCTATAGGGCAGATATGAGAATCTACTGGCCTCTGTTTAGGGGTGGGGAAGCACTGGTTGAAATCTGATATACTGGAACATTCTACAGTGATGAAAATGTATTATGAGTGGGGATTATACAGATTTATCAAATTGTTAAAACTCATTAAACTAAATATCTGATAAATATCATTGGATCTTATTTATACCAGAAAAGAAAAATAAGACAATAAAAAGCCACCAATAAACATAAGCTATGAAATACTGTCACTTATTAACAAAAGACTACTGCACCCATCACTATTATTTTATTTTATAAATAATAATACAATTGAAATGGAAATAAAAATCATAGAGACCAGGTGTCCTTACAAATATGACATGTATTTCAAAACATCAAAAGAATTAACTACATACAAAGTAGTAGATTAAGTAATACAAAATTCTTAAGATTTATTATATAATTACTTAAAAATAGCAATAAACATTCAAAATAGTGACAAAATTTGTAACATTCAATATATAAAATAAAACAAGAATAATAAATAATAGTTACATTTTTTGAAGGAACTCTTAATGTAAAAATGTTAAATCAGTCCCAAAATAAAATGCACACTTAATATCTTTCCCGACCAGAAACAAATGATGTACAGGGAAGAAAGTGGACTAAATATTTTTCTTTCCTTTTTTTCCCTCCTTGTAGTTGTAGATGGACAGTATGCCTTTATTTTATTTGTTTTTGGTTTTTTTGTATGTAGTGCTAAGGATTGAAACTAGTGCCTTACCCATGCTAGGCAAGTGCTCAGCTCCAGCCCACATTTTTCTAATTTCTAATTTGTAGAGGGAATACTACCAGGAAAGTTTGAAAGTAAAAAAAAAAAATTAAAACTTGTTTTAAAACTTTTTTTTTTTCAAATATTTATTTTTTAGTTCTTGGCAGATACAACATCTTTGTTTGTATGTGGTGCTGAGGATCGAACCCGGGCCACACGTACACCAGGCGAGCGCGCTACTGCTTGAGCCACATCCCCAGCCCCGTTTTAAAACTTTTCATAAAACTACTGTAAATTAAACAGGATACACAAAGTGATCAAGGGAATACTGACAATCCTCAACAGATTCAAGTTTATATATAAAAGTAATAGAAGAACATTACTGTTATTTGCAAAAGTTGAACACCTATCAGCAAAAAAATAAAATATTAGTCCCCCCAGCTCATCTGCCATGCCAGAAAAAAATTCCTGAAGAATAAAGCCTAATATAAAAGTGGGAAACATGGGACTACTTGGAAGTACAAATAGGATGTGGGAAATTTTTAAAACAGTACACCTAAAACCCGAATTCGGGGGGGTGGGGAATGACAGCTTTGGTTACATTGGTTAGGGAAAAAAGAAAAGAGGGAGGCGGGAAGAGAAGCAGGGCGAGAAGCAGATTTTAAAGTCAAAAGAAAAAATCAACTGGGATAAAATATTAGCAAAGGGAAGACACACAATGGATTATTACCACTGATGGAAAAATGAGTTATTCAAGTTGACCAGACAAGGCACACACACATGCGCACAAGCACACACATCTCGCAACAAAGGATATATAACTTAACAATTCACAGAAGATAAAATACAAATGGTAATATAATAAAAATGTTCAACTTCAGTAAGTCATGGAAATATGTATGAACATCAAAATAAGACCAATATTTTTAGTCATCAGCAAAAATTTTTTAAATAGTTTTCTTGAGGTATAACTGTCATGTAATAAACTGCATCTACTTATCTGTAGTACACAATTTTGCAAGTTAATATATATACACATGTATTCTCATGATCA